CGATATCAGTGGAAAAGTATTTCATGAGAAAGCCGAAACCATGGAAGAAGAACGATTGGGCCGTATCAAACGATGATATTATCGAGAAACGAAATAATATTAATCATTTGTCAAGGTAAAATTATTATCGTCTACGTAAATGTTTATGCAAATTTGAGACCAAACTAATCTCACGGTCAGCTCTCAATGGTATTCCTTCCATTGATTTGGACTGAAATTTCAATTTGAGGATTATTTTTTATGGTTTTTATAATTATCATTACAAATCGTTTCATTGTCGACACTGTTAAAACTATTCTTATTGTTTTCATTATAATCATGATCCTGAATGAACTGTGTGCGGTTGTTTCTCCAGAGTCATTTCACATTTGAATGTCTAATTCCAGATTATTACGTGTCACAAAATCACCAGCCGTCTCTTCCCGTATTCATCGCGAGCAATCCAAACGAAAACGACGTAAAAAAGAGCCACCATTCCTTCTACGAAATTGCATCAAAGCAGTATGTTAGATCTCTTAGATCAGTTCTTGCGCTTGTTGTGATGCTTACGCAATTCATGAATTTCTTTTTCATTCATGTATCTCGTTTTTCTTACAGTTATTATTTAAAACGTAGCATTCTCAGCATTATCGCGATCGCTTCGGTATTATCATTTTGCTTGTTTTCTTAGCGGGAAGAATGGAGCAAATATGAGACGAAAATGAAGCAGTGGGCATCGGAGCAGTATGAGAAAAAGAAACGTGAACGAAAGGCAGCACGAGATGCTTTGAAAGCGCACAATGAATCCAGCACTGAGAGTAATTGTTCGTCTCGTGGTGAACATTCTAGCTTCGAGAAGAGTTTGTTCGGTGCTCAAGAGGGAGGCCTACTCAGATCGTTCTACACTATATGGAATATAAATCGTCTGAAGGCACAAACGGCAACTTGTGAGGAGGTCAATAACGTTTCGTTTTGTTCAGTGTGTGATTTTGCTTTAGTTTTTATTCGTGTATAAGTGGAAGGCAATAATGATATCGCCCGCATTCATAAGTATTCATTAATGGTCCCATTGAAGAATCTGTCGTTTGGCTTTGAATAAGCTTATTCAAATACATTGACGTTAGTTGTTCATTGTTACCGGCAGTTGACTGTTATTGTTATTGCGTTCTTTATTATTGGTGTTTTCAAATCCCTAGTAATCATTTTTATCATAGTCATTGATATAATTCTTAATGTTGGAGTTGTTATTGCTAGTATTGTTGGAAGAATTGACGACCTTAAGGCACGTGAAGCAATCGAAAAGTTATCGCAATCACCAAGCGTTGAGCGTTGTCTGACGAGGACGCCGAATGGTGGCATAAAAGAAGAGATTATCGAAGATCCTAGTAGTCTTTCGTGGAGAGCGAAACGTACATTGAGGATATTGGCAAGTGTAAACCGAGATGATGACGACCTTCCGGAGCACAGCGATTCAGAGGATGGCGTTGAGGTTGGTAGCATACTTTGTTTTCGATTGATCGGTTGCAAACTTTTTATTCGAGTATAGCCGAAATTGTATTTGTGGAACGTTTCGTCGAGTTATGATAAGTGTTTAATTTCTCTGCAGAATTTACCCTGAGAATTCATGGATTTACAATAATTTTTGATGCATTTTCCTGTGCTTCAAAGTTACCCTTCAAAAAATATTGGATTTCAGATTTGGAATCGTCGTATTGAAGCATTGCGAGCCAATTCAGCTTTGATGTTATCGGCTACTAACGTTACTAACACAACAGCTGATAACGATCAACTAATGCGATCTGCTCACGACGATGCTGAAGAGAAGAACGGGCAACTGATCGCATCATCTCCACCTCCAGAGTCCATAACCGAAAAATGCCCAAAAACTGGTGTCGAAAGTGCTGAGCTCGACAAATCTGTAACACCTGGAAGTGGCGATCAAATTACGCGGAGACTCAGATCGGCTGATCGCTCATCCGAGTCGACTGAATCACCGAACAAGACAAATACTCCAAAAAAGGGTCGAACTCCAAGAAGACGCCGCACTAAAATTCGTATCGAGACATCACCGAACGAAAACTTCCACAGAATCGATGCAAAGGAATCATCAGACGA